TAGGAAGCCATGAAAAAATCATAAGAAATTAACCTGCATGATCGGATACCGGGTCCATAGTTCAGCCATGATACAGCCAGCACCCCAAAGGTCCACTGGCTTCCCATAGTGTCGATCATTGAGCAGGATCTCTGGAGGTCTGTACCAAAGTGTGACGACGCGGCCTGTGTAGCGTGTGGGACGGTCAGAGCGAGTCGGGGCTACAGTGAGGCGAGCAAGGCCGAAGTCAGCGATCTTCAGAGTCCCCGTTTTGTCGATAAGAATATTGGAAGCCTTTAGATCCCGATGAAGCACGTTGTTCCTAATTACGATGAATGGATGCATACCAAGATTGACCAATTTCATTCAACGATTTAAAATTTAATTAGACAGGAAAAGTAAATAATATCAAATAGCATTCAATGAAATTAGCTAAGGTTGGTAAACAAGACGGCATCGGATTATAAAAGAAAATGAATAAACCATACACTTCATTATAAATATAAAACCAATGTTTGTACTTGTTGTTTTATACAGTTATTTTCCGTGTAAGTTTTGTTAAATCCTTTTCTCGTAAATTGGCTTGATTAAATTTTTTTAAAAACAGTCTTCAATGAATCCTCAGTTATAGGAGCAAGGTATTCTTGTGGCATTAGACAACTTACCTGGTATATTTACGGAAAATTCAATAATGTTAGGGCAAACGTTTATTACAATGCTCAAATTTCCCCAATATGCGTGAAGATATCGAAAAAACGAGTTCAAAAATAAACTCTAAAATTTTATAATTTGCAGAAACATTTAAATCAGTTTAATGAACGATCTGAAGCGAACCAAATAAAGGCTCTTAAAAAACTTATGCCAGTAGAGCCACTAGAGGGATTAAGAAAATATACAATGCATCGGAAACTCAGATCATACCTGAGAACGCGCACAATTAGAGCATTCACTATAAAAGTAGACTTCGGATCGTTAGATTAGTGTCAAATTAACATATATGGATATTGGATGGAAGTCTTCCTGATATAAGCACATGATAAGTTCAGGCGTATGTTTTTAGTTTCAAATATAATATGGCTATCGAACACACGAGCAAGACTGTTTGTTCATGCCTCTACCGCCTCTGAGTATTCGGACCACATTATATATAGTAAGATGGAAAACTCCTGTATATAATTCGCGAACAACTGAAAGGAGATTGTATGTAGATATTAGATAAAATAGTGTAAAACAGATAGCAATGGAACGATCTTAAAAACTCACATGAACACAATTCTCTTGAGAAAATAAAGCACTAGGTAGCTAAAATACTCAAGTATATCGCGAGATAACTGCAGACAAAACAATTCGATCCATTTATTTAATCCAATAACCCTTAAACGCCGGGACCTTTGAGGAAAATGTCGATCCGCGAAAGCAACGGCACTGATATGGAGTAATACATGACGGACGAAATTTAGCAAATACTGAGACAGGCTGATGCATTGAATGACATCAAATTATTCTTCAAATCAGAAATAAGTTTTTTTTAATTATCAACTCATCAGTCAACTCTGTATTAGGTGTAAATATGGCCAATTTTCAAAACCAAGTTCAGATTCAATGCCTTGCAAATACGATACTCAAATAAAGAATCAAAATCGTCTAGCTTAGCACAGCTGCGCTTATTCATAATTAATGGATGACCCAAAATTATGTGCGCATGAGTAACTAAATGACATAAATGAACACGGGTTAATGGAATAATGCGCAACTTTTGATGAGTCTTGACCAGCCAAGGTTTACTTTTCTAGTCGAGGTAACTATGACCTTTATTTATGAGGATACCAAAATGTGCGGTATGCTAAGCTCCAAGAAAACTGCGTAGAAGCATCAGTCATATTGCTAGTGAGGTTGGTTTAGGCTAGATGTCAAGTTATTAGTGAGGCAAGGCAAATAAAGTTTATTTTTTAAAATAGCTTTATAGCTCTATCAAGGTGGAACCAATTATATGCTTTAGACTAAGTAATCTTGATCGCATCATTCTATAATGCCTTGATTCAATGCCCATAACAAATCGTAAAAAATATTAAATGTAGAAAAGTTCACTAATACGAGAAGCCGAAAATATGCTAGTGACAAAACAGTGGTTCAAATGTAATCGTAACTTGAAAATAAAATTGGATAACGTAATCGTCTTAATACTGAACATATTCAGACAGCATACTTTAAAGCAGTTTAAGTAGTTTTATTAACCCGAAAAACTTATTAGAAAATAAAACAATTTTCAATTGAAAAGAAGATCGCAATTCGAGGTTAAATCTGAAGAGGTACTTGACTCAAAGCAAAGTCTATAGTCAGGTGAAAGAAGTCTACATACACGGTAATCTAGTATATCTG